TTTAGCTGGGAGTTACACTCCTGGTCCAGGTTACATAACACCAAACGTTTTACCAAATAATCCTAACTCTTTCCGGCCAATGGTGTATGTCTGTCTTTTTTGCAAATTAAAGATATGTAAATAGTCAAAATAATGACTAATGCAATAAAACAACTGATCTCATAACCTAAATGGGGTCAGTTGTTTCACAGATTTAGTGACATTAATTTTTATGTATATTGCTTTAATAAACAGTTTTAGGTTGTCCAGCAGCTTTATGGCAGAAATGGGATCTTTAAAAGGCAGATAACCTCTCATCTTAAAAAGTACCAAAGCAGAAGTGCCATTTTGAAAGATATGGCTAAACAGGATGGCTTCAGTTTGAGGTTGAAAGGAATTTAAGAGAGCTACTTTCATTCGAGATCAGCACAAACAGGCAACAGGTCCTACAGGAAAGCTGAAACTCAAGACTTACGTTTGTTTTGTTAGTGGCAAGGTGACCTTCCACGTCTGCTATCAGTGAGAATCAACTGGCAGAGAAAGGAGCTCATTTCTTGCATAACTTGGCCTTTAATGCTTTCCTTTACAGAGGTGCATAATGCAGAGGGTCCCGCTCTAAAAACTGGATATTGTCATTTTGAAGATGCACATAAAGCACATCTATTTACACTGCTGCAAAACAAAATAACCAATATTACTGTAAAAAACTCATTTTTCAGCAATGGAGGATAAAGCCACTCTACTGTAAACATTAAGCTAGTTTAAATCTATATCCATGCGCCTTTGCTGAATATTGGCGTAGAGAAATCATTTAAATTTAACAAAAGAAGCTAAAGTTCCAGGAGAAAAGAACAGATAAAAAAATAAGTTCCTTACTCTTTTATCTACCGTTTTCTAAAAGTCGCGTGCAAACGTTAAGAAGACTTCAGGACAATCTGCCACAAATCCACCCGGTAGCCTATTACTGCAGAACAAACAACCAAATCTTACATCACATATTTCCCCCGGTGCCTCTTCTGCTGCCCTCTAAACAGGTTCACACTTGTCGACTCACACGCTCTTTTAACCAGACACAGAAGCCTCGGCCAAGAAACAACGCCGGTATTGTTAACGCTCAACACACGGCCCATATTTCCCATCTCTGGGCAGCACAGACAACACAAACACAGTCTCGCTGTGTAGAGAATTGAATTATTCACCCCTCCTCTGCCTGGCCTCTCCCAGAGGTGCTCCGGCCCGGGCGCCGCTCGCCTTCGTGCACATCCCTCAGCAGACTGCCGGCTGCCACACCAGGGGCCGCGCTCACCCAGTCTCCTCCTATTCATCGCATTACTCAAGGCTCCCCTCTCTCCTGTGGAGCCAAGAAGGAGGCTGAGTTTCAATAATGAATGAGGAAAAGCCTGGTCAAGAATTAGTGTCCAAGTTTTAAAACCAGACCTTTATGTTTTATATCAGGTAACTTTTGCTTGACCATTTTTGAACAGTTGAAAATAATAATAAGCAGATTTAGGACAGATCTCAGTTTGTTCATCT